TATCCTTGTCCACAGTCTCGTCACCTCCTGTATTGATTATTGCAATTCACTTCTTTTTGGTGTCCATCACAAATTCCTCCATAAACTTCAACGGGTCCAGAATTCTTCAGCCCAGATCATCACTAGAACCCCCTCCTTTCATCACATCATCCCCATCCTCCGACAGCTCCACTGGCTCCCTGTCAAACTAAGAATCAACTACAAAATACTTCTCTATACATTTAAAGCCATCCATAACCTTGCCCCCCACAACACCGCCCCCTATCTGTCTGACCTTCAAATTTCCGTTCCCTCTCGTTCCCTCAGGTCCTCATCCTCCCTCCACCTCTATCTACCCTCTGCCCTTCTCAGCACGATGGGGTGTAGAGCTTTCAGCCGCTCTGCCCCCAAACTCTGGAACTCACTTCCACCCAACATCCGTAATATTGATTCTCTTCCCGCATTCAAATCCCATATCAAAACCCACCTATTCAAAATCACATACAGCACTCAATTTAAATGTATCTCTTCTTTTATTATTTATAATTTTATCTGTGGTTTTATTGTTCTTTGTTTTGTCCTTGATTGTAAAGTTTCCTTGAGTATTCTGAAAGGCGCTTATAAATAAAATGTATTATTATTATTATTATTATTATTATTATTATTATTATTATTATTATTATTGTCTGCGTTGGGTGGAACCATGTTCAGTCGTACAATATTTTTCTTCAGGAAGGCATTTCGTGCTGCACCGTTCATTTTGTGTGCTGCTCTATAATTCAACCGGTTGGAAACATCTCCATGATCCCGAGTTGGTTGATTTGACAAGGTATTTTTTACTGGCGTGGTGACATGGCAGACTATTTGTTGCGGTGGTGTTTGGAGCAATTACAGAGCAAGTTTGGTCTGGAGGCATCCGAAGATATCGTCAAGTAAGAAATCATTTAGATGACTTGCAGCCTGTCTAAAGCGAAGACTGACCTACGTTCGTTTGTCAAGCTAGTTCGGCAGACGAATGTGATGAAATAAAAACTACAAACAATTGATTGATTTTCTGACAACGTCCTTTTTATGAAAGCTTGTCATTAAATTTGTGAACAAGCAGGCTTAGTTTACGAGTTAACGTAATTTCTTCGAATGTAACGACAAGCAACTCGCTTCCTTTAACCACTTGGATGAGTTGACCTCACTTTATAAATCCTTTGTTTTGTTTAAAGATAGAAAGAATATGACATTGAAGGATAATTCTGTAAAAGTAGGTGGTGATCTCCAGATAATAAATAAGGAACCGTTTACTTGTTTGGTGATTATTTATTCATAGGGCATCTATCGATTATTGATTTGTTTTATTATTTAAACTAATGAATTTATTTAGGATATCTCAAATGATTTTTTTCTTGATCATTGTATTGTCTATTCTGTTATTTATTGTATTTGTTGCAGCTCCAATGTAATAATAATCATACAGTATTACTTTATTAGTTTTATATAGCGCTTTTTTTGGACGTGCAATGGCGCTTTTCCAAATAAAAGATAACAATGACAGGAAGAACAAAAACCATAACACAAATAAAGACAACAGAATATTGAATTAAAAAATAGCCAGTTTGAACCAGTGGTTTTGGGGGAGGGATTTGAAGCTTAGGAATATTTAAATGAATGTTTCAAATGAACTTAAAAAAACAAGGAAAAAGTGTTTGTTGACAGGAAAAATAGCCTCATTATTATATTAGCCAATTGTGTAGTTGTCCTTTAAAGTGAGGATCATGCATACACAATTGAATTTGATCTAATATGGACAATCTATTCTTAAACTAGTATAGATTATTGACTGTCCTGTTATAGACTGGAAGCTTAAAATTTAATGTATAGAACTGAATGTGTGCATAGCTGTGGAAAAGAATAGAATATTGTCAAACCATCACTGATGCAAGAAATATGATTTCCAGACATTAAATGCAAGCATCCTTGGCAAGGACGGGGCACAGTCAAGTATGATGTTACTGTTAATTGAACTGATGCCATCCTGTTGTTTAGATACATTATATCCATTGAAAAAGCTGAGGAGATTGAGGAGTATGTGGGCGACCTTCTCCAGGGCACAGATGGGAAGAAAGGACAGTTCATTGAGGAGTTGCTCTTCAGGTGGAAAAAGACTCAGAGACAGGCTGGAGACACAGCTGGTCTTTTCCTTCTCAAAGAGTCAATGTCTACAAGAGGTGGGTAGGCATTATTTTCAACATGAGTAAAGCATCTTTAAAATATTCATTTTACAATACGGTCCGACTGATCCCTTATTTTTTGGGATGATGCTGGTTCTGATATTTGGTCGGGGAAAAATAAATACAGAATGCTGATTAATCAGCCTATAAGATAAGATAAGATAAGAAAACCTTTATTAGTCTCGCAATGGAGAAATTCCCAATTCACAGCAGCAAAGTTATGAAAGGAAGAAGTGGAACAACAAAATATAGGAGCTGCTGGAAAGGCAGCCACTCTCGCGGCGCCATTTTGAAGTCAAAATAACAAAAATAACACAACACAACACATAGGACACAAGACAGTCGTGCAATCTTCACCACTTTTCTGCATACACTTTGTTGTCTTAAGCAGTTATAGATGAAAGAGGAGAGGATCAAAGTGTCCTTTCACCAGTGGATCAGAGACGTCATGCTGAAAATGTGCACACGTCTGCTACAAGCTAAGTTTTGAAAGCAAACGCGAAGCTGTAGCGTCCATTGACGAAAAGACGCTATTATGCACGTAATAACTTTTTGTGTCCTACATGTCCCATAACAGCATTTTCTCTTTTTAATTGTAATTTTCTATTGACATTTTCCCATAAAGTTCTTAAAATACATTTTGTCAAACTGTTTGAAATGAGTGACGGCTTTCACCTGTGGTAAACGGTGATGGAACGAAGCAAGCTATTTTCTGGTTTCAAAAGCATAAGTGCTTCAACTGCCATGATACGACATGCAGTAACAGTCCAGCTCAGCGAAGTTGGTGGCGGCAATGCTCCTGTCAAAGGCAATGCGTGCACATTGAAAATAAGTCATAACTTGCTCTTTTATCAACAGAGTGTCATTAATCTTATTTATTTATTTTTTTGTGGGTAAAATATGAAATAGTGACACTCTGGTCAATTCCTCCATATGAGTTGTAACGTTCACTAGAAAATTGCTTGTAAAAGTCAAAATGTATGAGTTACTGATTGACCGAACCTTTGAATGGCTGTTTTTGGCTGACAAACATCTTGCATCAAGGGATACAAGTTTTTATATAGTTTTCTGTGTAATCAATGATTATAGATGTTAAAAATGTCTTTGAAAGGTCTATAATCAGTTGGGCTCTAATTTACAACATTATTCTTATTAATTAGACTCCCAAGATACAACCAAAGATTCCCAGAAGAAGTCTAAACGTAAGGGTCGGAACAAACAAGAGGTGTTGACCGTGAGCCAAGTGGACCCTGAACCAGAGGCAGTCAAAACTCCCATGGATCTGATGAGGGTCAGTATACATTGCCTTGAATATTGATCATGATCTGTATACAACACATTTGCGGCTTAATATGGTCTTCTTGTTCTTATTTTCTCCACCCACAGGTTCAAGAAAGCACCAGTACTTCTTCAACAAAAAAGAAAAATAAGTTCACAAACCTTTATGCTAAAGAGGGTCAGGACAAGCTGACGGTTGTACTTCCCGGCCGACACAGCTGTGAGTGCCTTGCTCAGAAGCACAGACTCATCAACAATTGCATCAGCTGTGGTCGCATTGTATGTGAGCAAGAGGGATCCGGACCTTGTCTCTTCTGTGGTAGTCTGGTACAAGCATTTTTGTTAATCTTTTTTGCCCCAGTCGATGATAATGGAAAGTCAATCTTTACCTTTGGACATCTTTCTGTCCCATTTAAGGTTTGTACCAAAGAGGAACAGGAGATTCTGCTCAGAGACTCGAACAAAAGCCAGAAACTACGAAAGAAGCTGATGGGAGGTGAGAATCTGTGGTTAGCGGTACCGCAAGATATGAAAAGTATAGTATAAGTCGCAACTTGGTTCAGTAACCTTTTCCATCTTTGATGTTTACGGTTTAAACTAAAATGACTTACAGTCATTGTGGATTTTTCAATCCCACATGCAGCTTGTGGAGGCTCTCAGTCACACAGGAAAGTTCCATCGGAGAAAGGGTTCCGTCAGATGACGACTGACGGAACCCTTTCTACGATGAAATCCCACATGCATCAAATTTTCATCTATTCTTAACTTCTTTTCAATGACCAAAATCACACTTATGAATACTAATGAATGTTTCAGTGAGCTCCATGTTGAAGTGGTGACGGTTCACATTTTGAAATAAATTCTCGACATGTGACCGGTATTTAGCTCTTCTCTGCTCAAGCGATTGACTTGGCTTTTGAAAAAGGCAATTGAACCCCTGCACATGAGCTTTGAGTAAATGAATCAATGGTAAGATATTGGCAGAGAGTAGAATGGAGAACTTTCTTGCTGAAAGAAAACTGTGGACCTTTTTTTTTTTTTTTTTTTGGTTGTGCATATTTTGTTGTGGCACTAGCAGTATTTTCTCTTCTGTGTTTGCATTTCTGTTTATTTCCTATAGTAAAGTCACCAGTTTTGAAAATGTGAAAAAAAAAATCAGTTCAAATTTTGGTCAATTCATTGGGTGCATTTTATATACTGTTGTGGTACCTATATTGTATTTTACAGTATTCGTATATTTCTTTGCGACAGATTGTGGTGAAAGAGATTACCTGGCGCATCAAGAAGCCAAGATGAAGGCTGGCTTAGAGAAGGCTGTCCAGCACAAAGACAAACTGCTGGAATATGACCGAACTAGGTAAAATAAGTTATATTGTAAGTCTCAGTCCAATCACAAAGTTTGATATAACACTGTGCTGCTGTTTTATGTGCAGTGTCAAGAGAACTCAGGTACTTGATGATGAGTCTGATTACTTTGCCACTGAATCAAACCAGTGGTTGTCAACCACTGAGCGTGACAAGCTAAGGAAAAAGGAAGAGGAGCTGCGCGAACTTCGCCATGCGTCTCGTAAAGATCGGAAAATCACCTTGGACTTTGCTGGTAGACAAGTCCTTGATGAGAGAAACAACTTGAACGAGTACTACAACAGGTGAACATGAAGCGGTTACATCATTTCACTCATGAATCTCATGCTTGCAAGTGTCAATCACAATTGCCCACTGTTGGATATTTTTACCCTGCAGATTAGATGAGGCCCTCCAGGCAATGAACATTGACTCTGTGGCCAAATCCCCATTGTATAAAAGACAAGGTGGAGAACAGAACCTCAGAGAGCTGGTCAACCCCAATATAAAGCAGAGAGCACCAGAAGTAAGTTGCTTTTTACACACTGTATCTCACCTCTGTTTACCTCTTTCCTTCTGTTTTCCTATAGACTTGTTCAAAGGAAGTCTGCCTTCCTTTGTATTAGAAAGTACATTTAGGTCAAGAAATGGGCCTTCCTTAACTGGAATTGTGAATTAAGATCACGCAATGGTGACATAATCATTGAATAGTTTGAAAATGTAATGGCAAAAAGTTGACAGTTCTTGATGGAGAATAACCAATGAGAACATTCGTCTGTGCATTCTATCTCCATGATGGCCGACAATACTCGGGATTATCAGAATAAAAATGAATGTTTTTTAAAAAAATCCCAATTTGTTGATTTTCCTGGCAATCACTTGACATTGTTGGCATGAGTAGATCAACCCACGGGAGATTCTATACAGCCCTGTAGCCTTAATTATTGTATAGTGTCTTAATAGTTTTATATTATTCTGCCACTTGTTGAACTTTGCCAGTCCCTTCGCCGCTGCAAAAGTTGACGAAGAAGCCTGCTCTATGGGGCCTCGAGCTTAATGCCAAAGGGCCTATTGGAGGGCATAAAATTCCACATTATTCTCCCATTTGTGTAGTTATTTATTTCATATTGTGCCATCCACGGACCAATCACACATCCGTACGATATACTCCGGACTTCGTTTGCACAGCCAAGCTGACAGGACTGTAGCAGCAGCAGTTTATCAGTCAATATTCTGTCCAAGTGAATTCACATCTCAGTTTGATGAAAAGGACATAATGAGATATAAGTACAAGCTGGACAGGTTGGATATCAAAGATGCACCTGGAGTGCGTTCTAGAACTATTACGACAGCATGTGGGGAGCATTGCACTGGTGAGTCCTTGTGATGAAACAAAGGCTCTGATGTTTACAAATTTAGGTCACGTGACGTGTGTACTTTTGCGCAAGAAGAGCATGCGATATCTCTTGGTCTTTCTGTTGCACCGTACTGGTGACACTCTCACACCTTAAATTTTCATTTTGCTGCGCCATTATGCAATTTTATCATGCGGTACATAGAGTCCCTTAAATCTTTATCCATCTCCAGTTAAAAAAAAAAAAAAAAATAGAACAGCTGAGCATGATCATGACATGACATGGCTCAAGCAAGTAATCTCCCATCCTGCGTTGATGCTGTGCACACTCGGGCATCCTAATGGCGAAATTAGAGATGCACGACTTCGCTGAAATGAAAGTCTTGATAGTTCTCCTGTCTGTATTTCTTCCTCTTCCTTTTAACTCAAATTGACCAGACTGCATGTGTCGCAGTAGATACAATTTAGCCCTATGTTAAACATGGTACAGTAAAGCTTGGTATGCTTTTCATTATTCACTCTTTCAAAGGCGACATCTTTGATTTTTCCAGTAATCAATTCGACAGAGACTGTGAATTGAAATTCTGTTTATCAAGCACCAATGTACGAGTGACAAAAAAAAAAAAAAAACGTGAGCACAGATCATACTGTTAAATGGTTGTTTCTCCAGATGGGCATGCGTGCCACTTCCTTTATACACGTTATGCACCCAGTGTTCTTTTGTCCTGTTTATATTTTTAGTGGGTAGATGTTGGCAGCAGAGAAAACGACAAAAGGAACATGGAAAAAGGACATAGTTTGGCACAGGGTAATAGAGGAGGAGAGCGGTCCAGGTTGCGTCTCCAAGACAAAGAGCTGCAGGAGATGTGTGATGGTGGTTGGTGTCTGAGCATGCACCAACCATGGGCATCACTCCTGGTCAAAGGCATCAAAAGGTACAAAGTTTAAAAATGTAGTTGTGATCACTCGCTAGTAATCGAATGGTTCAAAGTACTAACATGGAACTCTTTATGTGTAGAGTTGAGGGCCGAACTTGGTACACATCCCACCGTGGCCGTCTTTGGATTGCTGCCGCAGCCAGGAAGCCCACTCCTCAGGAGACTGCTGAGGTGGAGGCCATGTACCGTTCCATCTACCAAAAAGGTACAATGTCAAGTCGAATATGTATGTCATTTTTAATTTCATAAACTTTATTATTAAATATATTGCATTACACAGTGCACTCTAGGAATCAAGTGGCTAGACCAAATGACATGTTCTGCATTGATCGCACAAAAGTTGGCGTTCACACACACACACACACACACACACACACACACACACACACACACGAAAAAACTATGAAAAGCCTTTGAGAATTGCGCAAGCTGTGGCTTATTTTCAATTGGCTTGTACTTCTATGGGGACGAGCGTCACGCTGTCAGAGGGCTAGCATTAGCATCAGCATCTTGCTTTGTTGCGCTCAGCTCAGCAGTTGGAAACATTCAATGGCTGCAGAGTTTCAGAATGGGTGGTGATTGCTGTCTGAACTTGTTGACATTCAAGTTTGATTGCTGCAATCATCGCAATAGTCAGTCTTGTATTTATTTATTCACCTATTACGGTGTAGCAGAGCACCGTGAAATGAAGCGCCCCTATTTTCCTTCTACAAATTTTTAGTATGCCTCTACTTGATGAAATTAATGATTGAATTATTACTTTCATACTCATACTCCTTCTACAACTTTTTTTATTATATTTCTACTTAATTAAATTAACGATTAAATTATTAATGTCATCGTAATGCCCTGCAGGATTGGCGGCAGGAATGCATTTTGTTTCACCCCTTTGAGCCCAAATGAAAATTCATTCCATTTGGTAATGGGCGTTCATTCTAATTGGAATACAAGGCTCTATGTTTCCCTGACTAGTGATTGTCTTTGTGTTTAAGCTGTGTAGGACATTTGCAAAAAGCAGCTCTTAGGAAAAAAAGGATCCACATTCCCCCTATTTTGTGACATGTTACAGATCAACACAGTAACTAAATTAGAATTTGTTTGTGCCAATGTCCTGTTTTTGAATAATAAATCGGGACATCCCTAGAAAGAATCCTTGAATGATTTTATTTATTCTGCCTACATACACTGCCCCGTTGGTGAAGTAAAACAGTCTAGAGAAGTGTAGACATTCTGCTTTCCCAAAATTGAATTTCACTGAAAAAGACGGTGCCCTTTGAAATGATTGGAAATAATCTGACCATTGGTACATGTTCAACCAAAGGTGTGTTTTCTCATTAGAATCACCGGTGTCTTCAAACTTGTAACGGTCAGTCAGCCTATTTAAAGGGCGGCAAGTAGTCGCTGTGCTGTTCAGTGACAGTGTGTCGAGTGAATACACTCAAGATAACCAGAAGAAGCAAAGGAGAGAGTTCTCTCAGGAGATTACATTGAAAATTAATAACATAACCATTCATACTGCAAAACCTGGAACTTTTTGCCAGGCCCTCCGTCACTTCTCAAATTTGCGTTGTGGTGATCACTCTATTCACTGGACCTTCGAGTTGCATATTGCATTGACCTCCACCTGGCACCCTCCTGATCAGTTCTTAAACTCTGTGGATCCACTGGAGTGATTGGAGCATAAATTTAAGACAATGTCAGACTACATGAATGTAGCCCGATTTTGAGTCAACATGTGTTGCAGACAAACAAAATAGTGTTTTGGAGCTGATTGTTCTTCTTTTTAACTGCATAAACTGTCAGCAGGGCACTGCCAGAAGTGAGGAGCTGTGTTGAAAGCTGCTTATGTTCTGTGGTGTTTTTCGCCTGCTTAGGAATTTGCCGACAAATTTTGTTCATTGTGACAAGTTGCGTTAAAAGAAAAAAGTTCATCATGACAGTACCTCTGTCCAAAAAGTGTTCTATGAGCCTTGTTATATCATTGTCTCCAAGTCGTTCTCCTGTGGCACGGCTGAGGTCTTTTCCTGAGTGTGGCATGGCATTGCACATGTACTTAGTGCCCAAGTCTGCTGCAATCAAAAACTTTATTCTAGACTTGGTCATCAGCATTTTGATGTCAAATAGACAGGGGAAGCTTTGCAAAGGACGTGCAACTCTGTGTCTTGCAAACTTGCAAACGAGCATGTCGTGGTGATGAGGGCTAGTGGTGATCACCCATTTGACTGGATCTTTAAATTGCAAATTGATTAAAGATAAGGGCTACAAGATCATCTGACTGCCCAAACTGCATTAACTAAATATCAGACTATCAAGGTATTATTGAGAAAACTATGCTGCCCAATGTCCAAAAGCTTGGTTTCAGTCGCAGTTCATGGATCTTGCAACAGGATAATGACCTAAAACACACAGCTAAAACACACACAAGAATGGCCAAGAGCAAAATACTGGGCGATTCTGAAGTGGCCTTCGATGAGCACCTCTCTAAATCCACTTGAACATCTGTGAAATGAGCTGAAAAATGCCATCTGCAGAAAGCACCCTCCAAACCTGTGACAACTAGAGATTTTTGCTCATGATTTGTGGGTCAAAACACTAACTGAGAGGTACAGAGGTCTCATTGAAAGTCTATAAAAAACTTTTGATTGTAGTAATTTCCTCAAAAGGTTGCGCAACAAAATTTCAATTTCAGCTTACCATCATTTTTGTCCAGGCCTATTTCATTAGTTTATTTAAAAAAAATTTAACCACAGTTCAAAAGCAATTTCTTATTTTTGTGTATTTTTTTTTTTTTATGATTACATTATTTTTGTAATATTTAATATTAGTATTATAATTATTTTGTCAACAGATGGGTACCAACACTTTTGTCCACATGTGTACTGCAAAGGTGAGCATTTGGGCATCTGGTTGGCATTTGATATGCGAATAGGTCTCACACCGACAGAGGTGATTTAATGATCAATGATTTAGAATTCCAAACTTCCGGAATGATGTTGAGTATTGAAAGAAGGAAACCACTGGCCACCATCAAAACATAAACAGCCTTAGAAGACCACAGAAGACATCTTAACTGCCAATTCCTGAAAAAAATAAATCACGTAAACAGCTACATAAAATCAAGAATAATACAAAAGGTCGTTGTATCGTTGTTTAATCAAGAGACAAGAATAAATAAAGGCTTCATAACAAGATACAAAGGACTGGTAACATTTACGATACCCAAAGCCAAAATACATCTGATGAAGCCTCCTATAGGAATGTTGTTGATTTTGTAGCAATTTAGTAGAATGTTACAAATATCCAAGGTACAGTGGTGTTGGCTAGATCACCTTTATTTAATGTCAACACGATCTTGCAAAGCATTGTACAAAGCAACTGTATTTCTTTTCTTGCCTGCTTAGAGCTCAGGTTTCCTTCTGAGTATCCCACTGGCTGCCTGTTGGGTTGTGTCAACATCACCGATTGCCTTTCTCAGGACCAGTTTCGAGAGCAGGTTAGTGAAATGTACGGTACATCTTTAAATGCTTCTTTTTCCTGTCACGTTTCATAGTAAAGAAACAATGGCACAAACAAATGAAAAAAAAATCTAATTAATAAATATTGTGAATTTGTGAGATGTCCATTTAGTTTAATCCCCCACCCCAAGATAGACACAGTTGCAACGAAATGGACATCTGAAAAATGATGAGGTTTTCATTGCAATTTTTGAAAACTTTAAATTATTCAATCTTGGGGGAATTTAACTTTTTTAGGTTGTAAAATAACCTTGAAATTACAGTATATTATTAGCAGGAATGATTGTTGTAGTGTTTGTATAATTGATGCAATGCCATTTTGCTACCAGCAGAGGTCAGGCTGCACCTCTTTACCCATACTTCGCTGATACATGCATACAATAGCATACCATATTTGCCACCGGCGGCAGTACACGCCACAGAACTAAATCTGAACCTGAAATCTCATCCTTCGTCCTACGAGATGACAAAATGGTGGTGCGTCTACAATTTATTGCCAAAAGTAAGTTGCGTGTCAAGTAATGGGAAAAATAAAATCTCATCTTTTGAGTCCGCCTGAGAACAGTAATGCATTTACTCACTGACTGGACACATATGTTGTGGTGCTCTCCATGCTTTCTACATGATTTCCTCAATGGGCACTTAAATCAAATCCATTCTGAGACAGACTGGGCCCCTGAAAATATGATCCCATTCCGCTATTAGGTCATCACATGGCTACAAGGTCAATAGCTCATTTGTCACTGCAATAAGCAGCTGTAATACTACTGCTCCCAGCTCAGCAGGCCACATTATAGCTTAATTGGACACTGGCATTTGTCGGTTTGATAAGGTATCATTTTATTTGTGATTTCACAGCGAACACACACGGGAGAGGAAATGTGTAACATTAATTCTACTGCACAACATGTCCTTCCCTAACAAGTCATCATATATACACTGTTGGGGGAATAACAGTCATTCCATGCATCTCACGTATGCTTGCATATCTTTACCTATGTATGTTTTCAGAAGTGTAGAGAGGGTGGAAACAAAACCTTCAGTGCTCGTACATGGTTTGCATTCTGACTACTGGTATCTGTTTATTTCAGGGCTTTCCCCTTTTGTACTCTGGCCTCATTCTCTCCTCCAGCACTCATTCCACCCAGGGCTGTAAAATCATGTTTGCAGGCTGTGTGACTGCCCTTTCATCCTGTGAAAGGGTGTGTGTATGTGTGCGTGCATGTGTGTGTGTGTCCACTTGTGCACAGGAGCCATAAATAACACCCCCACCCCACAAAACGCCCCACTGAAAAAAGAAAGGCAGATGTAGATTTAAAAAAAAAAAACAAAGAGGAACAAAAGTACCAAAAATGTAGTCATGGTTCTAAATCTGAACAGTTGTCCGGTTTCTGTATTTACCATTTGGAAGAGGTAGGGTCAGAGACTGTTAGCTGGTTAACACAGCTCTTAGTCTGCTCACATTCATGTAAGTTGACATGTGAGTGTAATGCTTAGTAGCACATATCCATGCTCCTCGGCTGGAGGAAAAGGATGAAGTGTAGGATTTACAGGCCATTTCTGGCAGCTGTAGGTGGTTAAAGGGGGGTTGTGGAACACTGACAGCCATTATTCTTCAGGCTCTACTCAACTTGTTCTAATGGCATATGAGAGTTTTGGAGAAAGTGGAATATGGGGAGATGAATTTTGCATGAAGCAACCCAGAATCCCCAAGTACTTGAAATGATGTAAATACTTCAATGATGTCATGTACACTACCTGCATTTGCGCTCCAATTTTAGTGCTGTTGGACAAAGAACATTATGACAGAAACCCCCCGCCAAAAAAACATCCCAGGCGAACTCGGATCTCCCTTGGTTCAATTCTTTCCCTCATTAGAAACGAACTAGTGTATTGATCCCTTTTCCCAGTAATCTCTGCCTGCACAGCTTCACCCCCCCCCCCCATACAACCGGTAATTGGCTAACTATTATGATCTGTGCTCAGTCTCTCCACCTCGTCCCTCTCCCTGTGCTCACTCAGCAGTCCGTAAGTGGATATGTACATTCGACTTGCCAATGGTCAGATTGGTCAATTTGTTAAAAATGATATAAGGCATTTTACGAAGTGACACTGGGAAAGCTTTTGGAGGAGTACTGAGATAAATGGATTGGATGTGTTGTGTACCTTGACTGAGCTTGGGTGGTGTATAAACGAAATAAACACACTTCAGCAATAATGCATTTCAAATCGTTACAATATTTTTGCAGTGCGTACAGGTGTTTGTTTATTCTTGGTGTTGACTCGCAGCACAAGCAAAGGCACAGCACACCCCATACAGAGCCTAAATAGCACTTTCTGCTGACTCCTGCAGTGAAAAAATTGATTGGATCAATCCACACTCCTAATAAGGATTTGATTTGTTACCGGGTTGCAAAAACCCTATCTCCAGATGGCGAGCTACATGTCTCAGTGAATACAAGTCAAAGAGGTTTAATCTCCTGGACAAGCATGCCAAGAGCAAATCCAGCGACTGTTAAATTCTGCATTGATTATACTCAATGTTTAACAGGGCAAGAAGCCAACATGGTCTCTGTATGTGCTTTTGCACCCGACAATAAATCACTATCAAATAGCATCACCAGTTCCCTCAAGTTGAAATGTTGACGTTTTGATGGAGAAGTCTTCAGTCAGGGCGTTTTATTGTTCAGTAACAGCGCAGACAGTGGTGCCAAATCTGTTACGTATAACAATATTTTATGAACCTCTGGTGTCAGGAGGCCTGTGGAGTAGCAGCTTTTTCAAATCAGATAGGCACTTATTTTACACACAGGTTTACTACTTGCTGTTTGCCAAATGGTGAGGACTGATGCGTTACATTTCTACTTTATCGTAATGTTAAGGTTCATACATAGCCCAGTGTATAACATGAATTTACCTAAAGGCACAATATACAAGGAATTCATCATTTTACCAAAATGGTTTACAATCAGTGTGTGTGTGTGTGTGTGTGTGTGTGTGTGTGTGTGTGTGTGTGTGAATATACTCTCTCTCTATATATATATATATATATATATATATAAAATCACAAGGGAAGAAAATGTGTCTGCAATATTGTGAAATCTGGTGATGGATTGTCAAGAACTATCTATCTATCTATCTGCCTATCTATCTATCTGCCTATCTATCTATCTATCTGCCTATCTATCTATTTATCTGCCTATCTACCTATCTACCTACCTACCTACCTACCCACCCACCCACCTACCTAATATAATATAATAGATTTGGGTGGATCTCCGAAAGTGTGGTCCAAAAGGATGGTCAAATGCTGACCCACTATGAGAGTCATTATTTTCTTCCCTTGACAACCAATCTCCAGATTTCACAATATTGCAGGCATATTAGACAAATTTAAAAAAAACCCAACTTGACGAGATTTGTGCTTTCGTTAGTGTGTGAATCTATTTTTGAGTGTCTGAAAAATAGCCATCGCGGCCACTTCTTTGTACCATGCAGAGATGAAAGTCCTCCGGATTTTCCCGGAATTCCGGGTTTTTCACATTTTTATGAAAATCTCTCCGGAGAATTGAGGAAAATTTGCCTAAAATTAATCCGGATATTAGTTGACAACATTGAACGAAGACGCGTTTGAGTTCCTTGTATTGCTTTCACGAGCGTAGCCATATTGAGGCACTAACACTAGTAACAGTAAAGAGATTTTTGTTTGTGTAATAACGACAGAAGACATGACGGCGTTTGACTAATGGTTTAGTAGAACGAATGGCAACTCGCAACAACAGTAGCAAGCGTCATTTTGCCTCTTGGGTTATACCATCTCAACTAGAACGTGGGGGATAGTCCCCAAACAATTTTCGTCTCTTTATAAACACACCTGCTAAACCCCAGTGGAACGAATAAAAGACACCGTCAACAAGACAGTTGTCGTAAAATATATATTTGGCCAAAAAGGGAAAAACAGATTGGCAGAAAATCGTGTCCGTCCGACTTCGAGTGTCGTCTCGGCTGGCTTAGTTTAGCTGTTTTCTTGTATGACGTCATTTGCGTCGGCGCTGATTGGTTGAAATCAAAAAACGCGCTTGCGTACATGTTCGCGCTGA